AACAGTTCCGGAATTTGGCCACTCTCCCGGACATCCCGGAGAACATATAATGAATTACAGATGAATTCGGATGTCTTCTGCTGCCGATTTCAGGAAAAGGTTTTTCCGGCAACGAATGTTGTATGATCTATTGAAAACCAGTCTTTCACGGAACGGATCTCACTATCTTATTTAGTGTTATGAAAGGCGAAACCATCTTCAGTATCTTTACTAAAAGCGCTCAAAATTTTGTGACCTGGGCCAGAAGGTATTGCGTATCATTTTTATGCATTCATTCTGTGTGTATATGTATGTATGTATTTGTGTATGTGCCTCTGTATGTATGCATGTACGTATATATGTATGTGTGTGTATGTACCCATATATGTACATGTATGTACATATATGTATGTATGTAGATATGTATGTATGCATGCATGTGTTTATATTTGTGTGCATGTGTGTACTGCGTACTCACGTTCTTCAATTGAGCAACCAGGAAAAACCAAGAAGCTAAAATTTTTGAAAAATGTTTCCTGTATAATTCGAATTTAACTTCCTTCCTCATAGATCTCATGTGCAAACATGTGAGTTGGCTGAAAATGGTCAGGTCGAGGGCTTGACAAAATGGAAAGCTGAAATTCTGCGAGTTTATTTTATGCTTGTGTGTGACTCAAGAAATTTAAACTCAGCTTCCAACTACTTATTTGTTGAACGTATGGGTAACTGAAATTCTTGAAAGGAAATTGTTGGCAATTAAGCCAACCAGAGAAGGCAGAAGTCTTTAAAGTAAATTTACTTTTCACCTATGCGCACGTGAGAATTATGACGAAAATTCTTTAAATCAGAAAACAGGCAAAATAGAAAGTTAGGTGCTCCTTGCTCAGGAGAGACTCAAGCACGTTCATTATTTTACTTAGGCGCACGTGAAAAGCTTTAATGAGGATTTTTCAGCTCGAGAACCAGAAGTGTTTTAATGATTTTTGCGCATATCAAACTGTAAAGCAATAAAGATACTTAAAACAATCTTGCTGTACAAAACGCTTGATTGCATCAGC